ATTCGTAAAGATGCACTTCTCTCTAAAGGCGCGTCTAATGAAGAGATGGCGAGTCAGGATCGTCATCTTCATCTTTGCGACACGGACTCAGAAAACACTAGTTTATTAGTAAATAATTAAAATATCTCCTTACTATTTCCCCCTGACACATTCATGGTAATTACTTTTGCTGGGGCTTTGAGGCAAGCTTTAGCCTATTGTGTGCATTTGAACGCAGAACTCTTCAGCTGCGCTGACAGCACGCATGCTGCTGCTGGCAGGACACTAAATAGAGGTCTCGTGTTGTTTCCACCAGTGCGGCAATTTTTTCATCACTAATTGATGGATGTGTAGCGAATCAGCTCATGGGGTTCCAGACGCTACAGATGTCTAAAATATAAAAATAAGGAGAAGCCTAAAACAGGCCCGAGGCCCGGCCCACGTCTGAACTATGACGTGAAAATTGGCCCGAAGCCCGGCCCGAGGGGCGTAAAAAAGTCGTTTGGCACACCCAGGCTGTAATGCAGGGTGTGCCAAATATGCGGTTTGAAATTGGCCTACCACAACAACACATCAAGTTTGAAAAATCACCTGAGTTCTGTAAGTACGCCTATAGTATATTGTTGGTGTAAAAAAAACTAGCTGCTTTTATCCGCCACGTTAATCAGTATTTTTACACATGATAAAAACGTGCACTTAATTTGCTTGGAAAATACTTGCGAATATGGCAGTCATAAAAAAAACTTACCCAGCCTAATAATAATTTGTCTATATTAAAAGTATAGCTCTTAACAGACCTGTGTGTTTTGTATCACTACTGCAGTGTCCGTTCTCGGAGCATATAAGCACTGCCCGCGCGAGGCGCGCCGCTTCCTGCTCGAGCTGTTCTGTAGTTTATTAAAAGTTTATTAATCCTGAACGAGATCCCAATCCATCAGTCGTTCTGACGTAACGTCTGCGTTCCCTCCTTCAGGGAACAAGGTTTACATATGTAAATGAGACGATCTAAATATTAAAAGTGAAATATTAGGTGTACATATTAGTATTTTATATTATTTATATGTAAAAAATATTTAAATAAAAAAACTGTGGGTTTCTGTAACAAAGATTTGTTAGAATATTTCAATTAAAATTTAAATAACGTATAGATAAATATTATACTATTAATATTTATCTTTATAACATTTAAATGCAGATCTTACATCCTTTCAGAAATTTGAATTCCGAAAGACCCATTTTGCAAGCTTAAGTTTTCTTAAAAGCAGTAGGACTGGGAAGTGACACTATATCTGTACATAATACGTATACATTTTTCCAAATGAGCAATACATTTTTATTTATTTATTTATTTTTGAATACAGGTCTAGTTTTCTCGCCATGCATGTTTTCTGCTGAGTAAGAGGGATGTGTTCCTGTGGTCTGTGCCCTCTGACTGGATTAAATGCTTTGTCCCCATCCATTTGTAAAAGCAGGATTTGGATTTGACAAAAACGGGGGATCAGCACACCCCATAGTACGATTTAGGCAGAGGAATCCTCCACCCTCCATATACACACATGCATCGAGCAGCACACATGTGCACATACACACAGATCCCCACTGCCCTCCTCCTCCTTCCTATACACAGCTAAAGGCAGGCCACATCAATACATACGTTAATGCATCCTCGTTTCAATAACTCAGGCACAAGCATTCAGCAAAGCACTCATTCAAAGAATTTCATGACCTTAATGTATTTGCATTTATATGTATTTATATTTCAGAATTTAAAATATATACATGGCACAAGCACACTTTCACAGCAAAACACTTCTTTACATTTATTTAAATGCTGTAAAAAATTATCATTGTTTGATATAACTTTCTCTGTCGTGTGTGTACAGGACAACCCACGCAAGGACTAAGAGTGAAGCAGCAGACCAGGCCGCACTTGCAGCATGTCAGGAATCAGACTTAGCCAGAGCTGTGGCTTATGAACTATCTCCAAGCTTCCATCAGCCAGGTAAGTTACAGAAGAAAGGTTTTCCTTTCCCACCTACACACACCCCCTGAAAATACCCATTATAAAAGCCACCAGATTATAACCACACACCCTCACTTACATTCCTCGCAACAGATACCTTCTCTCCACATAAACCTAGCTCAGTGGAGCTCTGCTGAGGGTACTGTATTCATTTGTAAGTCGCTTTGGATAAAAGCATATGCTACATGACGAAATGTAAATGTAAAATAAAATAAAGATAAATGTTATACTATGTGATGTTTTATTAACAAGTTTCGGGAGGAGCGCGCGCAGATAATTAACACGGCCAGTTCATCATCAGTAATTACACCATCTATCCAATCAGCACAAGAGAGAACCTCTATAAATAATCAAAGCAGCCTTACCTCCATTATCTCCTGTCTTTAGCATCCCTCCACCACCCCGACTCCTCACCTTCAGCCCGTTCCTACCCCAGCACGGGGAGGAACACTCGGGGGAGCATTCTGGGTCCGGGCTTAATCCCGAGCTCGGACCCCTCTCCCCGGACAGGGGGAGTACCCCGGGCTCGAAAGTAATTACCGAGCTCGGAGCCCTCTCCCCGGACAGCACGCCAAATACGCATAACCTTTACTCGGTTCATTATATGTAAGTGTGAACTCGTGAAGTATCCAATGTTCCCTCTAAGCTGCCCGCACACTTCTTACGTTGTGACCGTGCAGAAGAAATAATATGCCATGCAAAGAACATGCACAAAAAAAAAAGAACTGGGAAAGCCATTTGATTCAATTCTGGTAAATGCAAAATAATTGAAATGCTCGGGCAAACCGTTAAAGGGCTCTATTTTAACGATCTAAGTGCATGGTCTAAAGCGCACGGCGCAATTGCGCTTAGGGCGTGTCCAAATCCGCTTTTGCTAGTTTAAGAACAGAAAAAATGACCGGCGCGCCCGGCACATGGTCTAAAAGGGTTGCCCCTATTCTCTTAATGAGTAATGGGTGTGTTTTGGGTGTAACGTGCAATAAACCAATCAGAGTCTCATCTCCCATTCCCTTTAAAAGCCAGTTGCGCTCCCGCCATGGCGGATTCGCTATTTACATGGTGGAATTTGCAAGCGGAAAAACTGAACAGTTTTCTCTTGAGGGAATGGATCTGCTCGTGCGTGAAAGCCTTTTTTGCCCTCCATGTGGGCGTTCCTGTAAGGGTGTGACGTCATGTGAAAATGATGAGGAGCCCATATAAGCACATATGAAAAAAAAAACTGAATTGTATAGTATGTGTACAGTGCAACAGCAAAGAGCTTTTTTACATTTTAGAGAAGCCAAGTTGCGATACTGAACAGGACCACATGGAGATGCCAAAAAAAAACTAAACCAACCGCCTGCTGACTGCATATATCTACTACAGTACACGGATCCATTCAGAATAACTAAACACAGCAACATAAACATGACGAATCAAAACATTATCATGAATGTGTGTGGAAACAACGAGAATGTATGGAAATGTCTGTGCCTGTGCATAAATACAATGTGCGATCAGTGCGTCAAGGGCACTCATACACGCATTATTATAACGGACTTATGCGTGCTTACTGTACTGTACGACTCCTGTACGCCACCGCAATCGTCTTTACCTTGATTACAGTCTTCATCCATCAAAACTTTACGTGTGAGGGCTCGCGCTCTTCAGAGACAATCACAGAATATGACAGAGCTCGTGTTTAAAAGCGAAACACACTGGGATGAATAATTCACTGAAAACGCAACACGAGTCTCTGTTCTCTCTGCAATCTCTGATGTAATCAGCCTGGGACAGATTGTTTGAATGCATTCGCTTACTGGATCAGTGGACTGAAAACTTTCCCGGAGTTTAGCAGCTTAAAATGATCTGATCGCATGCAGAGAAGCAAAATTGGGTTAAAGGGTTAGAATAGAAATTGTGCTTCGATAATTTTGCGTTAATTGCGTTAAATTATTTTAACGTGTTAAGGATTGTAAAATTAATCGCGTGCGTTAATGCGTTAACGTTGACAGCCCTAATTGTATTATATTATATTATAAGAGATGCCAAAAAAAAACTAAACCAACCGCCTGCTGACTGCATATATCTACTACAGTACACGGATCCATTCAGAATAACTAAACACAGCAACATAAACATGACGAATCAAAACATTATCATGAATGTGTGTGGAAACAACGAGAATGTATGGAAATGTCTGTGCCTGTGCATAAATACAATGTGCGATCAGTGCGTCAAGGGCACTCATACACGCATTATTATAACGGACTTATGCGTGCTTACTGTACTGTACGACTCCTGTACGCCACCGCAATCGTCTTTACCTTGATTACAGTCTTCATCCATCAAAACTTTACGTGTGAGGGCTCGCGCTCTTCAGAGACAATCACAGAATATGACAGAGCTCGTGTTTAAAAGCGAAACACACTGGGATGAATAATTCACTGAAAACGCAACACGAGTCTCTGTTCTCTCTGCAATCTCTGATGTAATCAGCCTGGGACAGATTGTTTGAATGCATTCGCTTACTGGATCAGTGGACTGAAAACTTTCCCGGAGTTTAGCAGCTTAAAATGATCTGATCGCATGCAGAGAAGCAAAATTGGGTTAAAGGGTTAGAATAGAAATTGTGCTTCGATAATTTTGCGTTAATTGCGTTAAATTATTTTAACGTGTTAAGGATTGTAAAATTAATCGCGTGCGTTAATGCGTTAACGTTGACAGCCCTAATTGTATTATATTATATTATAATAAAGAATTGAAATGTTCTGTGTGATTTTTTTTTTTTTTTTTTTTATTATTTTTAATATAATTTCTTGGTAAAACAGCACTGTAAAAATGTTTTCTCAGGTAGCCTAAAATGTGCATCATTTAGTTACATCAAGGGTCAAATCAAATATAAATAGCACATTCAAGTTAAAAGTTACACACTTTTTTGTGTGCGCGCTGTACAGGTGTGATATAAAGAATGTTTTTGCTCAGGTGGCCAAAATGTCCGCCCAATAGAGAGAAGTTTTGCTCAGCAAGAAAAAAAATTAGAGGGAACATTGTATGTATCTATTTAAAATATTTATCTATATGTAACACTTAAATGTTTTTAGGGTTTTTTTGGGGGGGGGGACTGACAGTTTTGCAAGCTTAGTTTTTTTTAATGCAGTGGGACTGGGAAGTGATGGTAAATATCAGAATATCTCTACATAATACATAAACATTTTCTTATTACATTTATGCATTTGTCAGAAAATTTTATCTAAAGGAACTTCCATTTTGTCTGTTCATGTTTGAAGCTACAGGAATGCGTTTTCCTCTAAATTGACCCTTTAAATTTTGCACTTGCAGATTCACATTCTAATACTGATGTGGTAGCGGATTAGGAACATTGTTTTTTTATGTTTAATGTTATTTTTATCATTAATTGTGCACAATGAGCAAATTACACTTAAATGCAATGGGAAAACAAGTTTTGTTTTTTTTCTTACCCCATTGGCAAATATTTGTTTGAAGCATAATGTCACTTCATTTTGATGAATTTTTCAGAAAACAACATTGTATTTTACTTTTGCTTTTCAATGTACCGTGATTTAAGAATGTTTAGATATTTTCCTAAAAATACAAGACAAAATTACTTTTTGTATAATTTTATAATTATAAAAATAATTTTTGCAGTGTGCATTGACAGTCCTATTCAAAACAAATTAAGTTTATTACTCAACATTACAGAGCACTAGTATTAGTAGTCTGTTCCTCTGTGATTGTTCTAGTTCCCTTTGGAAGTACTTCCGACAGCAGCCAAAGAATGTTGTCCATATCAAACCGAGAATGTTCTCTGGATGAGGAATGTTAGGCTTGTTGAGTGTGTTGTGCGTACGGCACATTGCTCTCAGTAAGCAGATTCAGATAAGAAGAGGGCATGTCAAGTTACAGCTCTATTGTGCCGCTCAGCTCTCATGGAAAAGGTCCCAGAAACACTTCTTAGTTTTCAGAAGCAAACCCCACCCAAACTACACCATAAACTCCTGCCAGCTGAGCACAGGGAGGTCAAGGGAGAAAGGTCAAACTCACAAGGGGCTTGGTACATAACCTTCTGCAGATCTATAACTGGAAATCACCTTCAAAAGGAGACGCTCATGTTGGACAGGATATGACTGTGCAAATGAATCATGTCTTACACTTACCTGTGAAGTCTTTGTGAGAGCTGCTAGGGAGATAAAATCTTAATTAAACTGAGCTGTTTCGGGAGAACTACTGTTGCTCTGATTTGCTGATTTGAGCTCACTTTTTTGTTCTACCATTTATTTTTACTCTCTTAGTGACCTGATTTACTACAATCCATTATTTGTGAAATCTAATGCCAGATTGTTTAACACTACCTCATTCCTTCTTATTCAGTGATGAAGCGAAACTGGTTTTGTAAGAATTTGTAACGTAAGAGTGTGCCTATTTAAGACAAATTGCACAGAAAACACACAGAGTAACTGTGGACATAAGCAGAATAAAAAATACATAAATTACCGTTACAACGTTTGGGTTGGTAATATTTTTTTCATGTTTTTGAATTCTCTTATGCTTCTGCATTTTTAATCAAAAATACAGTCAAACAGTAATATTGTGAAATTTTGTTACAATTTAATTGGCTATTTCTATTTTTCTATATTTTCAAATGTAATTCATTCCTGTGATAGCAAAGCTGAATTTTCAGCAGCCATTACTCTAGTCTTTAGTGTCACATGATCTTTCAAAAATCATTATAATATCCTGAGTTGGTGCTGAATAAAAAGTTTAAAAGAACAGCATTTATTTGAAATATTTTGTAACATTATAAATGTCTTTGCTGTCAAGTTTGGTAATTAAATGCATCCTGAATGCTGAATTTCTTTAAAAAAAAATTACTGATCCCAAACTTTTGAATGGTAGTATATATAAATTTGCAAATAATAGTACAGTTTTGTTGATAAATTGAATTCAGTGGGCATGATGTGTCAGGCTAGATCCATTCA